CCATTTGACGTTGCATCTCAGCCGATGGAGGACACTAATGATGATGAGGAGTAGCTTCAGTTGTTTTGAGATGAACTTTTTTTGTGTCATATTGTTATGTTAATCTGCAGTTGTTGCTTATGTTACTTTGAGAACATTTATGTAGTATTGATGTTTGTACTGCATATTATTGGTGACGTGTTGGTCATACTATTTAGCATTATTGTGATGATGTTCATGGTTTTATTCAGATAATAGCATGTGGCAGCGATATCTGTGATGTTTGATACTTACTGCTATAATCATTTATGTGCTTATCTTCTTTAGAAGTTACATGCTGCGTTATGTTGTTTGCTTTGTGCTTATTTATATATCTGCATGCCTTCTCCCTTTTTAGTTTGTTAGCAATTGAAAAGTTAGGGGGAATATCTACTTGAAGTTATTTGCCCATCATAGTAGCTAAAATTTTTTTGTTGAATTTTTTATTGGATAGTGGTGGTATTTGTTAAAGGTTAATGCAATTTGAAACGTTGAAAATATAGAATATGTAGCATGTATATCTAGAAAATTTAAACTGAATAAGTTGGCATCTAAATACTGATTTTTGACATTTTGTTATTCTAAATATATGGAGTCGATTCTTGATCATAAGCTCAGTCGCTATTTAACCACAATAGAATTGGGCCTTAAGTTGTGATTTTATCAATTACAACGTTTTGAATTAAGAAGGGGTGGTAATGAAAATTTAAGTTGTGAAGGTGAATTGAAATTTAAAATTTTTAAAGAGCTAAACCAGATATAATAATCCCAACTAATGAGAGAAAAAAGGAAATCAAAATGTAAAAAACTAAATGAAGAAAATAAATTCAAAGAAAGGTTAAAAGAGCCTTTGGGGAGAAGCTTGAGGTGAAGTTCTAATTAAAATTCGGTTTCAATCTCTTTTTTTAAGATTTAAGATTCATTAACGACTCTAACTTAAGTAAAAGATTGTGTTTATAAAATGAAAAACTGGAACAAAATGAATTGATTAAATAGATACTGAACATTTATGGTTCTTATATAATTTTATTGTAGTTAAGCTTCATATATGTGCCTTTTTTTTATGAAAAGCCCAAGGGCTGAATTTATTGAAATAGAAAATGATACATAAAGGTTGTATGAGAAGAGCCCAAAAGAGGCACCCTATCATACGATACAAGTACAGTAATTCCCCAACAAAAAGATACGGATAGACTCAATAAAATGTAAAACAAATTTAAAACATGCAGAAAACAAGTAGCTAGGGACGAGCTAGTTTAGTCCTGCCTCTTCCTTTAATTTTAGAAGTGGAACCAGATAACAAACTTTAAAGTGTCGTGCCATTGCCAGGAGTTACCAAAGTATCATCCATTAAGTTTCTAAGTTGGAGTGAGCCCCCGGCCATCTTCTTCCGCCGAGAAGTGTAAACCTGTCATTCTTCATTTAAAGACTGGCTCATGTGATCATCGATCTGATTTGATGTCAGCATCGCAGTAGGAGGAAAGTCAGTTATTGCCACCGTGATAGGTTCCAGTGTATGTGAAGTGTGAATTGTTACCTCTGCACCTAATGCTTCCTGAATTGAAATTGCATGACTATCCTGATTTTCAGTTCGAACATTATGCGTTGTAGTATGGTCAGGAGAAGGGATCCCAGTGGCAGACACAATCTCCTGTCTTATGGTGATTCTCTCCTCAGGTTGGCTGTCATCAGGTTTAATGGGAGCGCGTTCAGGCACATGGGGTGCACTAATAGCGTGTTTCTGCTTTTGACTATTGGTTCTCAATTGTGGGTGTAATCTGAAACATTTCTCCTGCGGGTGTCCAAACATCTTGCAGTGTTTGCAGTAGTATGATTTTTGTTCCATAATGATTTTTTGTCAATAACCATTGTGAGCAGATCCAAGCTTCATATATGTGTCTTAGGATGAATATATAGATTCAAATAACTTATTAAGAATTCAAGATCTTCGAAGCTAACTTTGAAAGTTTAATTTGAAGGGGATATATGTTTACTGAAATTTGTATATTTTTAGTTGTTGTTTAGTTTGCACTAGATCTTTAACCATTGCCTAACACTATATGAATTGCAAATGAATCAATTTTAGATTTTTAGAATTACTTGAGAGCAAGCAATTTTAAAGTTTGAGGGATTTTGATATGCATATGAAATGAGCTCATTAGATGGCTATTTTTTATCCTTTTTATGTTTATTTTACATTTTTTTTGAAAGGTTTAGTGTTGTGTTGCAGGATCTAGGAAGGAGGTTGATTGGAGCTCAGAATATCTCAAAAATGGGGTAAAGTGTTGGAGCAGCACCTAAGCGTCAGAACTCGGTGCCTAGATGTCATAGGATGATCAATTCCAGGAATTTTCATCTCCCGGACAGAGCGGTTGGAAAGTAGGCACCAGGTGCTCAGAATGTAGGCGCTAGTAGCGTAGTGCCTATGCTGCAGGACTAAGCACTTAGGTGCCCAAAGAAGGCAAGGTTCGTAGTGCAAAAAGAGTGGCTCGAAAGTAGGCACCACTATAGTGGGCACCTAGTAGCGTAGCGCCTAAGCTGCAAGACTAGGCACTTAGGTGCCCAAAGAAGGCAAGGTTCGTAGTGCAAAAAGAGCGGCTCGAAAGTAGGCACCACTATAGTGGGCACCTAGGCTGATTGCCACACAGGTTTTGTCCAAAATACAAAGCGCACAGAAAGTAGGCGTCTCGATTACAGTGAATAGGCACTACAGTCAGAGCTCCTAAGCGCTTGAAGCCCTAAACCCATACTTTGTGTCTAGCGCCTAGGCACCACAGACCAGTGCCTAGGCGTCAGTTCACATGATTTAACGGTTTCTGCAGTTGGGGCGTGACTTTTCACCGGGAGAAGTGTCCAAAGGCTTCCTAAGAATGAATATGGTCATCTCAGCCTATTTGAAGCATAGAGAACTTGAGGAGAAGGCCAGGAAGATCTTTAAGGTGCTAGTGAGAGAAGCAAGTAGAGTGATTGAGAGATTTAAAGTTTGTAAACTTGCCAGTTGTGATTCAATCATCCTATTCTAATAGGAAGGAGATAAGTACATTGAAGTTGTTGTTTCTTTGGATTTCTTTTGTAAGACTGTTTTGTGTAATTTCTCATCTTAATATAATGTTTGTGTTGGCGAGTTTAATCATGACTAGTGAGTAATTCCTTCATTTCTTCCTTGAATTGGAATTGTGGCTGGATTGAATTGAGTTAAGTTCTTGATTTGCATTGGAATTTTCCTTAAAGTGTTGTGTTAACCTTAATGTCGATTTTACTTTCTTCTTGGCCTATAGAAACCTTAAAATTCTTTGTGAAATTTGAGATTCAAAAGAATACTTAGTGGAACGAAACGGTTAACCACATAAATTTAGGGTAGTAAGAATATTGTTTCTAAGCTTGTGCAAATAGATTTTAATTTTTGGGTTGATCATGGGATTTAGAGAACTAAACTTATGATAGCAGATATTTCTTAAACTTTCAGAAGGGGATAAATAAGAATTAGCTCCACTTTCTTGATTCTATTCACCACTAGATTAATTCAAAAGAGAAATCTCTCGTACCTTGACACTCTTTAAAACTTATCCTTGCTACCTTAGGAAGACTTGTTTTTTTAAAAAGAATTAGGTTAAAAACTTTTCTTAACTCTAAAAACTTTTACTATTCAGGCTAGGTACGACATTATTAAACTAGAATTTTTTCAAGTTGGAATTTAGCTCACTTCCTGCGGATCGATACATGAAACTCAATTCAGTATACTACTAATATGATACTTATACTTGCGTGATTCGCCAGTGCGTCGCCGCACTTGGTTTGTATCACATACGAGGTCAGGTATTGCGTACTCTGTTAGTATTGTGAACCAACACATTAATAGCCCAAATGAAGAGCACTTGAAGATGGTGTATAAAATTCTGACGTTTTTCAAGACGACTCTTGATCATGGACTAATTTTTGAGATACCCAAAACTAGAGAGTTGAAATTCTACACTGATGCTAGTTGGGTTGGGTAACTCATTGATAGAAAGTCCACTGCTCCTATGTACGGGAAAATATGGTGACTAGTTGGGTTGGGTAACTCATTGATAGAAAGTCCACCACAGGTCATTTGCTCCTATGTACGGGAAAATATGGTGACATGGAGAAGAAAAAATGGTTGTTTCTAGAAGTAATGCATACTTAGAGTATAAGACACTCGATTTGGGAATCTGTGAAGAGATCTGGATTCAAAAATTATTAAGAGAATTAGAATGTAAGTCCAATAGGCCTATACAAATATTTTGTGACAGTCAAGCACCTATTAGTTTTGCCAAGAATCCCGTGCTTCACGACAGGACTAAGTCTATTGAAGTTGATAAACACTTCATCTCTGAAAAGGTTAATGATAGAATTATACTACTATGCTACATCACGACACACCAACAAGTTGTCGGTGTTTTCACCAAAGCTCTTTCTTTAAGCATCTTATAGGAGTTCAATACATCTTTAACCCAGCTTGAGGGGAAGTGTGGAAATCTGAGAACATCCTAGAGGAATTGATTGGGATAACGTAGGAAATTCTTGATTAATTTATTCCCTATTCTATGTAATTTTATTTTTAATTTTAGAATTATTTTCTTTTCTAATTTAGGTTAGATATGTTTGGTAAGTTTGTAAATTAGGAGAAATTGTTTTTCCTATTTTTATGTACTCTACATGTGAATAATAAAAAAGAAGAGAATTATTCATCTTCAAATCTATTTTCTACACTGGTTGATGTGCTTTATAGATTATTGCTGACTCGGGCATTCTTTACTTAATTGTAGAAATCTGTATTATTATTTGCATCATTGACATTTTACTGATTTATGTCAAGTGATACTCGTACATTCTTTTCTTTGTTTTCCTCATATGTAAACTGGAATTTATTGTATGTATATGCACGAGCACAAACGCACAAAAAAAAAAGTCTCGCACCATGCTTGTTGATTTATGTTTTCTCAAGATTGTGTTTTGTGTAGGTTAAGGAATTTCATCCTGATGTGTACAAAGGTGCAAGCAATTCAGATGAAATTATCCTTCGAGTAATAGGTGCATATGAGGTAATCCCTCAGATTTTGTTGGGTACACTTTTTTAGAGTAATTTAAGAATAATCCCTCCTAAAATATAATAGATTTTAAAACAAAAGTTATCATCTTCATTTTCAGTGTATGTTCATTTTGTACTTGATGATATGTGCTTTAGGTAAATGCTTGAGTCATACTTTTGAAAGGAAAACAGAAACTAAATGTTGCCGAAGTAGTTGAAAAGTATATTCTTCATTAATGCAATATTTCCACCCGGACTGCCCCGATCTCCAATTTTTTTGGCACAAATTTATATACATCCGTGCCATATGCATCATGTCCATGTCTGACTTAATCATATTGGTATTGATTTTCTTTGTTGCAGACTTTGGTATTTGTAGTTGCAGTTTTTTAGAATCACTGAATCTGTTTAAACTGGGGATGTTTGGGATCACTTTTGTTTTTTTTGTCTTTCATTTGTTATTTTTATTTTATTTTATTTATATTTTGATTTGAATTAAAATATGTTTAATTATTTTAGCTATTTTTAAAAACACTTGATAAAACATTGTAGGAGTTTTGAGTGTTTTTAAAAATAAAATGATTTATTTTTAAAAACAAGAAATAAAAATTGTACTAACCAAATATGCCTTCAAAAATAATAACAGAAACGAAAACAAAAACAAAAAAGGAAAGTGATGTCGAACAAGCCTTTTAGTACATCAAGCCATTCAAGTTAGTTGCCATCTATAACAATGATGTAAGAAATGAATTGCATCTTAAACTTCAAAAATATCTCTTTCTCTTCCAACTAATGGGATTTCAACCATCTTTCATTTGGAACACCTTGCTTATAATAGTGGAGTTAGAAAATTTTCAATTACTAATTGCTTTGAAAATTTCAGCAATTCTTAATCAATTAAGATTAATCATGTTGCTTCTAGCTATAACCATGTTCTTTTGATATGCACCTTCATTGGGGATAATTTTATAATCCGCAAGATATTTAACTTTCATTCTGACATATGGTTAACATGTTAAACAATGGCTCCCTAAAATGGTTTATGCATTCTCTCTGTGTTTCTGTAGAAAATTTTACTCCTGATATATTAGCTTATTATTGTTAATCATATATTTTTCTTACTCATACTTATGATTTACTTGAGGAATGCTTTATCTCATATTCATACTCATGTCATACTCATGTAAGTGTGATAGATTAATTATTACATGCTTTAATGTTTGCAAAAGAAGCTTCTGATAGTTTGAAAATTCATTGGGCGTGCAGATGTTATCCAAACATTTCCAGTTTGAATCTGTAGAAAGGTAATTCAATTAATTGATGAAGTATTAATTGGTGTCTGGACAGTTTATTAACTCTATTATCTTTTTTGATTTTATTCCAAAAGTATACTATAGGATTTATTTATTATATTCTATTTTGAGATTAAATATTTTTTTTGCCTGGTCTGTGCTTCATAATAGAGCAATGAATATAGTATGCATGGTTGAGACTAGTCAAATTGGTATTTATTGTGAAGGCATGTGCACTCCAATGCAAGTTATGAGAGTGTTAATTTGCATTTTCTCTTTCTTTATTTTTCTTTTCATTGACATACTAGACAGCCGATTTCTGATTTCACATTTTTTTTCTTCAGAATTTAAGTACAAAATAATAAGTCTAGAAATGCTCTTATTTATGTTTTGGATTTTGGAACGTGAATATTTAATTTTGATACTGTTGATATTCTGTTTAAAATCTCACATACAGTAAGAAAAATAGGATTATAGTATGCTTTTCACTGTTGATATCCTTATTGTGGATAAGATTAGAGAAATTGTTCTTGAAAAAATTTAATTATGGAGGTCTACAATAGAGTCTAAAGGCCTTCTTTTGAGTAGATCTAAAACTGAATACATGGATTGTAATTTTAGTAGTAACAAATATAGTGATAAAGTTGTAACTTCTGACGATCAAATTATTAAAAGGTGTGAACGTTTGATATCGTGGGTCGATTGTTCAAAGTGGTGGTGATATAGACGAGTAGTTGAAGTGGAGGAATGCATCGGGCCTATTTTGTGCTAGAAAAGTACTGCTTAGATTTGAAGGAAAATGTTATAAGATGGTGGTGAAACTTACATTGCTTTATGGCACTGAATGCTAGTCTTTAAAAGAGAAGCATAAAACTAAGTGTCGTTTGAGATGAGAATGCTTAGGTGGATGAGTGGCTTCACTCTTAGAGACAACGCAAAATGGTTGGTGTAGCACTAGCGTCAGACAATATTAGAGAGAGACGTCTTAGATGGTTTGTTCACATTAAACGTCGACCATCTGACGATTCGGTTAGGAGAGTAGATTTTTTAGATTTGACTTATGTTAAGAAACATAGAGGCAGACCTAAAAACACTTTGGCATAATGTATAAAAAATGATCTTAATTTATTTGAATTAAGAAAATTGATTTATGTAGCCAACCCATTTAGTAGGATAAAAGCTTGTTGTTGCTGTTGATTTTAAGATCTCATAGAGTAGGGAAATCGCTCCATTTTTCATTTCTGAAAAGCACAGTCGTAAAATTCTGCATCATGAGATGTTTAATTTTATTTTGAATGCTAAATGGTTAACATTTGACACTTTTTTATCACAGCTTTCTGAAAAGAAACTCATTGCATCTTACTTTGTTCCCCTTCGCCATTTTGTTGGTAGGTTGTCTTCAGACCCATTTGAGGACCCAGAATCTGAGGCTTGTGATATCTTTGTTAATGAACTCCTTTGTGTTGGAAAAGGTACCACCTGTTCCTTTATCATATTTTTTTGACTTAATCATTCCATTTTAAATAGTCTCAGAACAACTATCTTGATGATTTTTGGTTGATCGCATTAAGCTATTTTGGGATATAGTAAATTGATGGAAATTATTTTTCTAAAGAATGTACTGTTCTATAAATTTCTGATTCTTATGCAGTTCTTCTGCTCATCTAGCTATTCTATGCTACTGTTTCTGTTTCGATATTCAACCGACACTTTGTTACTAGCTTAAAACATAAACACCCATGAAGTTTGTAGGCCTTGCATGTTCTTCTAATTGTTATTTAATTTCATCGCCATTCATTACAGAATATCAAAAGTGATCTCTAACCTTTTGTCCAGGGGCATTTTAATCCTAGAGTGTATAAAAATACCAGTTTAGTTCCATAATTTTTAATGGTGGCTAAAATAATCCTTAAGGGAGACTATTTTAGCTCATATTAAAAAAAATGGGGATTAATTTGACACTTTTATAGACTCCGGAACTAAAATGACTCAATGTAAATAATCAAGAGGAGCATTTTGTCACTTGACTCCTTCCTTATACTTTTCATCAAAATTCATTTCAATTTGTTTTGCTAAAAACCTTTCTCTTATTGTGAACAGTCAAATATTTTTATATTTCACTTCTATTTCCCAGTGCTGATATGTGTTTCTTCTCACATGTTGCCCCTATTCATGCGTAAAACGAGCACCCTATGCTTTCTCATTTAATTTTGAGAATGGAACTGCACGAGTAATTTCTCAAGGTATTTCTTCAACTCACTATATGCCTATATGTTAGGCTAATTTTCATTCATGCTTTTAGTTATACTCAGCAAAGTTCTATCGCTATATCTTGATTATCTTCTGTTGCATCGAAGTCAATTTAGAATAGATAATGGTAAGATTTATTAGAAATATTTGGGAACAATGCTTTACAGTTAAGGTCAACATGAAATATCTCGCATGGTCGAATTAAATTTTACAGAGTAAATAATTATTTTGAAGCAAAACTGAATAGGATGAAGAAAAGCAAGAGTGAAAAAATGGTCCTCGCTTCTATGATAAGGTAGAAGGGCACCCTCCTTCACCATGATAATACAGAAGTCAAAAGAAAAATCAAATGGAGAAAAATGACATGCTATTTTGAATAATTTGTATTATCTTTTTTTAGTTCTTAGCCCTGTATGCTAAAAAAGCAAAGAACATTTCAAAAACAAAGTTCCAGGACTCACTAGTATAAGATAAATATCGTATCCCATTCCCAAGTGGCCACGTATCCTACCCTCAAGCCACTTCAAATTGTTATGTATCATGAAATTGAAAAACTTATTCGAAAGAATTAGTGGTTGAACTGTGATTTTTATAAAGAGGAAGAGATGACTGAGGTATAAGGTTAATTTGAGTGATTTTGTTTCTAAATTTTAATGATACTCTTATTTACAAATATATTCCTGATTTCATTTATAGTATATTTAGTGTGATTTAAATTACAATAGTTTTTTCATATTTATTAGACTGAGAAATATGTATATTTAATTATTGCACAATGGTTTTCCTATAAAATTATTAGATTATTACATGATATTTAGATTCTAGTAGAGGTGTTTATATTATATTATTACATGACCTTAAGATTCTAGTAGAGATGTATCTATTAATTAGTAGAATAACACAAATTGCTCTTAAAAAAAATAATGTGTTATGATATATGAAATGAAAATATTGTATATATAAATGCTTATATGTGCATGCTAAAAGGAGTTCACGCACTTGTAGTACTGGTGAGGGTTGTCAATGTATTCGCTCATAAATGTTTTCCTACCACGAAAGATAATTGTGAAATTTAAATCACTAATTGTTGTGTCAACGGAAAATTTTCAATTAGGGTGAACAATTATAAAGAGGAAGTGATAAGTTTAAGTTCAAAATATTTAGTGTTTGAATCATGATTTTTATAAAGAGGAAGAGATAACTCCGATAAGTTTAAGTTGAGTAATTATGTTTGTAAATTTCAGTAATATTCTTATTTATTAATATATATCTGATTTCATTTATGTTTTATTCTAATCTAATTTAAATTATAATAGATTTATCATATTAGATAGAAAAATATGCATGTTAAATAGTTGCATAGTAATTTTCTAGTAAGTTATTAGATTATTATATGATATTTAGATTCTAGTTGACTTGCATATATTAAATTATTACATTGCATTTAGATTAAGTTGTATGTTACATGACAGAGGAAGTTGCTGACCTGATGAGGGAGTTGAACATATATCAAATTACTATAATGCTGGGCTTCCAATAAGAAAATGTTTTGACAGTCAAAATTGTCTTGTTGGGATATTGAAAAGCAGTCTTTCAACATTTGTGTCCGTTTTCTTCTTGTTTCACTGCTAATGAGCTGGTCATGATTATATGAATGCCAAATAGTCGAGAAAATTATATGTGAGAGAAGGCTCCCTTGTCAAAGGATAACTCAAAAAAATTTAAAAAACAGATGACTAATGTTAAATTCATGAAGTCTTCAAATATAATTGTGAGCATGCACATAAAATTTCTTTTTTCAAACTTGCTTTTTCTTTGCCACAAATACTAGGTTCCAAGGGATTTGCTGAGATATCACGAGAATATTCCTAAATTTGTTGCATATAATTGGCCAAGAGCTATATGTAGTTTTCAGGTTTCTGAGTTTGATGTAATAATGGAGAAAATGAGGCTGCAGACGTCATTTGAATATATGAGTGGTTTCTTGACTCCCTTAATGGTGAGTATGCATGCTTCTAGGAAAGAATTTATATTATTTAAAGCAATTAACATAACATTTTATGCAGATTTGATTTTTTGAACATATTTTAATGCTACATCTTTTGATATCTGATGCAAGATCTCGTATACTGAGATGGCCAGTGTTTGTTTCATGTAGCACAAAATTCTGTGAAGAAATTTTTTCTTTCTTGCATACTCAACAGGTAACAATAGTGTTCATTCCTTTAATTTCTTCATATAATACATTCACGTAAAGTAAATGTTAAGTGCTTAATATGATTAATGTAGGTTTTTGAATCATTCAACTGGATGACTTTAGAGGAGGAAGAACTACTTATTGTACTACATCCCCTTCCATCAAGTATAGACCATTCATCATTTGACCTTTCATCAGCTACAAACCATTCACTGTCTCCCTTTCTATCAACAAAAGGTCATTTATCACATTCCCTTCAATTGATTAAAGACGCCTCATTGTCTCATCACTATCCCCTAAATCTTCTCATAACACACATAGCTTTCCTTTATCTAATGAATCAACAACAATAAATGAATTACCTTCGACTCTTGTAAAAAAAATATAATATAATTTAAACCCTTGAGAGTAGGGTTAGTGAAATGAAAATGCACTTGTCGATAAGATAACTAACATGCTGACTGACTTTGATTTGAGATTGAATTAGATGGAGTCGAGGTTTAGTGGGTCTGGCATTCCAACACAAGTCGAAGGTTTTAATAAGGGGAGTATTGTCCCTGTCTATGAAGAGAAAGAAAAAGATGGAGCATCTGAGAGTTCTGAAGTTGTGGAGTGTGATCAACTTAATTCTGAATCCAATCAAGCACAGGAAAATGAACCTACCGATCAAACTTTTTTGACTAGTATTTCTTTTGTTGTTAAATTGAGAGATGATAGAAGAGTTAAGAAGACGTATACATCTGGCTCTTGAAGACATACAAAAAGGAGAAAGAAAAATGTAGATATAAGTGTGGCTGCTGCGGTAAATGAATTTGAGTTAGAGAATGATGTTGATCATTCTCAATTTTGGGAGAGCATAATATTCCTGAAAGTGAGTTTGGAGTAGAGCAGAAGGTATGCTCTCAACACGGGTCCGCCTCTAACAATTGGAACAAATACGGGTTTGCCTCTAACAATTAGAACAAATACAAACCGATTACATTTGATATTCTCATTATGTTCATTTCGTCGCTACGGAGATATGTTTTTTTTTTCCATTCACAAAAAACAGGCATTAATAGAACTAGTAGGTTTAGAGACACCATTGCATAAATTATGTATATACTCGCTAAATTATGTCGATAAGATTCTCATACAAAAGGAATCTTTATTGAATATAATTGACCACTTATTTCTAATTTTATGTAGTTGGTCTAGTCATGCATGATCATGAATCATTTGTTTCCGACATTTCAACCCATTTTGGTCAAACTCTTCTTCTGAATAATCGCTTGTACTCAAGCATGTATAGAATAGATTCTGAACTGTTTTATTACTATTGAAAAAATGTACATTAGAAAGAATTTTCTTAGATATATATCACTAGCATAATTTAAGATGAGTTTGGGGCAATACATCTTCTATAACGCTCGTCATTGTTTAATCTTGATCAGTGAATATTGTTAAATGATGTTTATCATCAATTATACGGAAGAATGCTCTGAATAATTATTTGAATGAGCCAATTGTCTTAACAATTTGACATAGCTATGTTGTCAAAATGGTTTGTTGTTTGCGAAGAGCCCGTGTTCAGACACTAAGCAAACTAGTCAAACACAAATAAACTTTTTGCGCTTGATATATAAACAAGCGAACACGAGCCAAGCCTAGGCTCACTCAAGCTGGGCTTGTTTACCTCCCTATTTTTCAGTTACAATTAAGATCAACTTCATATGTAATCATGATTGAGCAACCACATCTGGTGTCTGATTTTTGAAATTTTACGATGCTATTAAATTTATTAACTTTTTTGAAACCGGATTTAGTGCTTAAAAAGTCCTTTGGTTTTATATTTTTTTGAATTTGGCCAATAACTAATATGGCCATTCCTCACACTAAATTCAGTCTGGTGTGCATAATAACAACACAAATTATATGCCTTATTTTCATTCTGAACAATTATAGCAAACAGTTTGCCTTTAATTTGTTCATAATATTTTTGGATTGCATCATTCTGACACATGCATATTTTACACATGATATTCAATATTAGAAATAAAATAAAATCATTTTTTTTAAAAATAAAGCGACCTAAAACATAATAAACGAATGATTTTAGCTTTTGGTTTAAGTGAATGTAGGTTTTTTCTTAAGAGTTTTGGGATTACATATCCATTTATGTGCAAAAAAAATGTAATAAATTCAAAATATTTTCAAAGAAAAGTAGCCTAAAACAACATTAAGCACTAATTTTAGCTTTTAAAGATATTTAATTTTAAGATTCTATTCAGAAGTGAGATAATATACATCTACTTTATTGAACAAAAATTGTCTAAAATTAAAATTTTTCTACACAAGTTAACCTAAAATGTAATAAAATAATGATTTGGGCTTTTAGTTCAAGTAAATATAAGATTTTTCATTAGAGTTTAAGCAGTATACATTTATTAAATGCAAAAAATATAATAAAGCCAAAATATTTTTTTAAGGAAAGCTAACCTAAATCAACATGAAACACTGATTTTAACCTCTAAAGGTAGTTAATTATATATTTTTCTTCATAAGTGAGACAATAAACCATCTACTTTAGTGAACATGAATTGCCTAAAATTAATTTTTTTCTTAACAAAGCTAACCTAAAATATAATAAAATAATGATTTGAGCTTCTAATTCATGTAAATGTAGGAATTTTTTTCCGAGTTTAGGCAGTAAACATCTATTTAAGTGCAAAAAAAATGTAATCAGATCTAAATATTTCCAAAGAAAGGCAATGTAAAACTACATAAAACACTGAATTTAGCCTTCCCTAAAATGAAAAATTTTTCTAAAGCAAGGTAACCTATTATATAGTATAAAAATATAATTTCAACTTAGGCTATAGTAAATACAGGTTTTTCCTTCAGGATTAGGCGAGGCACTTCCAATATATTGTCATAAATTAAAATGAATCTATCCATGGTTTAAAAAGAAATAAAAAAAATAAACAGAAGTTCCACTTGATAATTTTTGTTATGTGCTAGATCTATTTTTCCAATTATAACAATTAATGTTTCTTGCCAAGTTTATGTTGGTTGTACAGCAGAAGTTTCTTTTAGCGACCCTAGAAATAGTTTATCTTTTTGCAGTATAATTCATCTAGAAGCTTACCTTTAAGATTTAATAAGATGTTTAAACATTTATAAGCTTTACTTTCAAAAAATAAAGAAAACCATAAAATTTCTGTTTTCATCCTATCAGATTAAATTCCAAAATAAATCTCTGACTATTCTTGCATGGTCAATTTAATCTGAGAGTATTACATTATCCCAAGGTATTCTCTCCACTATATAAAATTAATCCAAAATAGTTCATCATATAGAAATTAAAATACAAAATCGATCCCAATTTTATTTTCCAACTATTAAAAATTGATTCCAATTTAGTTCTTGAGGAAATGTTAGATCAACTCTATGTAATTGAGGGACTAAATTGGAGAATTGTGATCTTGTGGGGTTAAATTGGGACTAAAATTAACCATATATAAATAGTGAGTGGTCTATTCTTTTCGGACCCCATCTTATGAATCTTTTGCAGGTCATGTTGATGATTACCAAGTCCAGCTAGCTGTTGGGCAGTGCCCAAGGAGATGCATCCATTATGTCACCCCTTCCCAGAGAGCCATTTTGCAGGATGTACTCCAAAGGTGGATGTTATTACTAAGAAGGGGCATTTACATACATACCACCCAATTCCTATGTATTTACATGTCTAATACCTAAATTTTATTTTTTACATTTATACTGCCCAAATCTTCTAAATCACATAAAAAATATCACTATTTTAACTTGAAAAAGGTGAAATACATAGCTTTTCATTCATAGGTAATTGATGGCATATATGTAAAAATTGAAGTTTAGGCATGATATATGTAAATGCATAGGATATAAGTTGTTTGTTTGCAAATCTTCCTGCTAAGAAATACCACTTTGTGCTATTCCTTTCAAACTCGTCTTCTCTTTCTTACTGCAGGGTGCTGAATAGTCCCTGGGATGTGGGCGAAGCTGCTTTCCTCGAATCACTTATTTCAAAGGCTATTTTTGAGAACAGAAGGTATCAAAACCTAAAGAGGAAACCGACGATTGAGACAGAGTATGTTGATTGGTCTTAACATTAAATATGTAAGTTCTATATTTTAACCAAGCTTTTGGAGGGGTAAATATACTCAATTTTCAATGTTATTTGTAATCAAAACGGTTCATTTTATGACATCATGATTCTAACCAGCTAAATTTATGTCAGTCTGAGTTTGTTTGGACAGCGTAAGGCCCCAAAATGACAAATTTAGAGAGAGAGCTTGTTGATTAAGTTCAATCTAAAAGCCCATATTTGATAGAGTTCAGTAATTAAAAAAGTCCCTCCTCTTGAAATAATTGAATGAATTATATTTCTATGCATTTAAAAAAAAAGATATATTCAATAGAGATGAATATAGGGTTTGTAGAGTATTTTAGAGTATTTTTCATTGTTAAGTGATCAGGGCCCGAATCAGGTTATCCCCAGAATGCGCAATTGCCCCTCTGGAATTTGAGATTTATCTATGTAAATGGTATTTTTTTAAAGTAGTTTAGACAATTTAGTAATTTTGCCCCCCCTTGATATATTTTTTTTACCCAATACTTGAAAAAATTAGACATTTGATGATTTTGGCCACCTTAAATACTGGATCCGAGGCTCCGCTCTGAATGATGATTCATTTGTCATTGCCAAAGCTCATTTTTGTTTGGTGCTCGATATTGACCCTTGACTAATATCAATGCTAATTATAAGGGTAGCAGTTTAGCCCATTTAATTTTGGCACATTCCATTTTTATTTCTCAGCATATTGAGAATAAACGTTCTCTCTGATTATTCTGTCATTCATCTTTGAACGGTGAATTTGAGGTGAATTTTTTTACTGGGACAAAACTCTTAGAACTATAAACCATTATTACTGTGATCCTTTTGTAATGTTTATTTCTACGAATGATGTTGGTTCAAATAGAATTGTGCTCTATTTTGTTTTTGCACTAATTCACTTAGTGAAGCAATTGATCTTGATAATGATGAACTTTCTTTTATCTTTTATCTTGAGAAAAATAAGCCAAGCCCATCCATTTCCCATAGTATAACTAGAAATCAGCCGTAGCTTGTGACAAAGTCTTAATTACCTTGAAGCAAATTTTTAATATTGTGCACATCTTTCTTAGAAGTTATCTATATCTTTTTTGGTAATTTAACGTCAAAAAAGCTTTTAAGAATTATTAATGATGTTAATTAATTTTAATTACACTTAATTAAAATTATATAAAAAATCTGAATCTTTTCAGGCTGCATTTCTCATATAGTTGCTCCTACTATGTTGGTGATATTGTGGTATTATTATATCACAATACCACCAATACTACCTTAATTGCCGTCAAGACTATCAAAGAACTATCACCCACGCCTAATCCAGCCGCAGCTCATCTGAATTAAATATCTTTTCCTTACAGTGACCCCTCTTCCCTTCCTGTTCATAGGCCTCAAAAAAATGATTCAAATTTTAACTTTAAAAATTGAAAAATAATTCAAATTTGAACTCTTAGGCCTCAAAAAAATGATTTAAAAATTCAATTTTAAATTTAAAAAGTAATTCAATTTTAAGCTCTTCTCAAAAGAATATTTATTGAACTTGGGTTATCTATTAATATGCTACTAATTTCATGGTTTGTTATAAGAAGTCACTCGAGGCTAATGGGCAGGAAGCCTCGGATCCAGCTTCTCTGTAGATGCCTGGGGCTGTCCCAGCATTGTGAATAGTTTTAAGCAGGCAAAAGTTCATTTGTCTCTTTATGCTCGTCTCAGCAAGTAAGAACTCTTACGATTTTTTTGCATTTATTAACTCCATAAGATTTCATATCAGTTCATATTTTTCTGTCATGCCTGTGATTATGGTGCTATGCATAGTTATTGGCATTTTGAAAATGCCTCCAGCTCTCATCAGCCTATATCACTTCTGAGTAATATTTATTCTAGATGGCCCCACTACAGGAAAATGCCTAATTAGCGTGGGATTAGTGTCGAAATAATTCTGCCGTTAAAATGGACGTCGCTAATTGATTTTGCGTCAAATTTTTATTTGTGTCCGCTTTTACTTCAAAAAATTGTCATTATATATTTACATTGAAAAGTCGATCGACGGTAACATAACGACGCCTTTGCGTTGAGCATATCCAATGCTAATTAGCGTAGACATTGGTGGACGCTATTCAGCATCGACGATGTCGGACCCTAATTAGTGTTGGCTTATGTTTGACGCTAATGCATCGAATTAGCGGTGTCATGTAGCGAACAGGCTATTGCAGACACTAGCGTCGAAATTTTAGAAAATGCCTCCAGCTCTCATCAGCCTATATCACTTATGAGTAATATTTATTCTAGATGGCCCCACAACAGGAAAATGCCTGATTAGCGTCGGATTAGTGTCGAAATAATTCTGGCGTTAAAATGGACTAACGCCGCTTTTGCTTTGAGCCTATCCAATGCTAATTAGCGTAGACATTGGCGGACGCTATTCAGCATCGACGATGGCGGACGCTATTCAGCATCGACGATGGCGGACGCTATTCAGCATCGACGATGGCGGACGCTATTCAGCATCGACGATGGCGGACGCTATTCAGCATCGACGATGGCGGACGCTATTCAGCATCGACGATGGCGGACGCTAATTAGTGTTGCCTTATGTTCGACGCTAATGCATCGAATTAGCGGTGTCATCTAGTTAATAGGCTATTACAGACACTAGCGTCGAAATTTTCGCTAACCTAACGTAAACTGTAATCTAAATATATTTTTTTAATCATTTCAATCAAAAAAATGATAAATATTAAAAATTTCTGATTTATCAAAAAATAATTTGATTCACTAGTTCAATGTTCGTTTCAACTCCGATTCTAATCGGTTCTGCGAATAAATGATTTTGAGCCTAAACCTAATCAACCATAAAGTCAAGTTCACATTGAAATTCGTTGGACAAATTGGCCCGGTCGCATTTTTAAAACCATAATCACCCCAAAATCATATGACATTATTGCTAACAATTAATCTTGATCTGATATTGTTGAAACTTGTCCCCAAACTTGTCCCCAAACTTGTCCCTTTGAATTGTCTAATTGGATAACTCCCATCTCCCTCAAACGTTCTTTATTTTATGCTATAGAATTAAAATATTTGCAAAAATTAAAACAAGACTAATAATAGACATCCATAAAGAGGGAGATATTCCAATTAATACAATCTGAAATCAAATTTGAAATAAGAAAATTCAAATATCATAATACTAAAAAAGATTCCTAAATTCACCCTTACGGTGATCCCCATAATGCCTAAAGATTATTTCTAACGTCCTGCACTCTTTCAGGGGTCATTGAGAAGATTGCAGACCAATAAGAAACCACGCAAGTTTGCAGGATGACGGTGCACAAACCGGAACGGCCCTTTTGTTGAAGATGAAAATACTGTAAAAAGAATATAACATAATTGAAATGTAATGTTTTAGAAAAAACTTTGAAATTATATGATTTGGTATAATATAGATACATAAATTTAAATTTGTGTTTGGTTTAAAAAAAAACATAATTGATATAAAATATGCACGATGATAATGGTGGCGACAATAATTGTTTGTGACGCTTGCCGTTGGTGACAGAGCGGCAGACAACGGCAAGTGGTCGCAGGCGGAGTTGGGAGACCGGTGATCTGCTGCCGACGGCAACAGTGGGCTGCCAATAATGGTGGAGGGCAATAGGTGGCAGCCACGACAAATTGCATTTTATAGTGTATTTGAAAAATCCACTAAAGTCAATGAATTCTAAATACAATAATTTTGAACTACAATGTAAAATAAAAAATCTTAAAAATTTTAAAATTTTCTATTCTCAACCAAACAAACACTAAAATTTTAAAAATCCCTGTATTTGATTTATTTCAATGAATACAAAATACACTAATATTGAACTACAAAGTAAAATAAAAATTCTTCAAAAATTTACAGTACATTCCAGGGCCCGTTTGGGGCAGCTTATTTGGTGCGGTGGCGTTTTGAAAATGCACCTGGTCTGTGTGGCAAATAAGGGGGGGGGGCAATAGTGGCAGCCACGACAAATTGCATTTTATAGTGTATTCTCAACCAAACAAACACTAGCATTTTCACCGCACCTATCTAGGTGCGGTGGGAGCTTATTGACAAAGATCTGGCATTCCAAAAAAAATAAAAATTTGTAATAACTACCTCACATAGCTTATCATCAGATTATTCAATAAGCTACAGCTGCCCCAAACAGAACCTCCATTTTCATCCAGCCAAACACCAAAATTTTTAAAAATCCCTACATTTGATTTACTTTACACCATAATGCAGGGAACGAAATAGGACCTAAAGATTAATTACCAAAAAGGTTCTCATAGCTTAAATATAAAAAGAATATTCAAGAATTCGTCCCACGGAGTATAATGATTCATATTTCCATGAATAAGACCAACTTACAATTCTGTACAGAGAGACATGGGAGTTTTCACCTCAGGGCTGGGCAAAACAGAACAGCAAACAACTCCCCTTGAAGAGTTTATGAATTACAGAAGCACATCTACAAAATATACCAGCAAAATAAGAAGAAGAAGAAGAAGAAAATGAAGATGCAGAATCCACATTCAGGTTTCCTGCCATCTGATGAGTATGACCACCTTGTCAGTCACCGTTCGCTCAGATAAAGTGAGATTTCTGCATTCCCAAATAGCCAAAAACATTTTGAAAAGACCCATATAAAATGAAATTGGCGTCCAACATTCTTCAAATATTAAGATATTCAACCACTATTATACAAGTCCAAACTGGTAATATTCTGTCAACCTGTACGACAAAAACATAAGCAAAACAATAAGATATCTTTTATCAGAATGATCAAGCTGCAATTTAAGAAAGAATGAAGTGCCAAAAGAGTCCGCTCTTTATTTACATGAGCACATTTTAGTCCAGTAATATAGAGAAGTGCCAAATTAGTCCCTAGACTATTGAAATATAGGCTGAAATAGTCCCCAGGGAGTTTGAGACTGCTTTTACAGACTGTGGGACTAAAATGATTTACTACAAAGAGTCAGGGAATCATTTGGACACCTCTCTCATTTAGAAAAATACCTTCTGAATACACAAATACTCCTCCCAGCATCTCATCATTATTGTCCCCATCCTCTGATTTTCCTCTCTCACAGTGGCTGCTGATGCTGCTGTCCACATCTGTGACAGCATCAGTTAACTCACGGCAGTCATCGAGATCTGAAACATTGCAATAACCTTCATGAAAATTTCGAGGGAACTTGATCGAATTATGAGAAGCAGAAACTTCCATGTGTTCCATATTTGAGTCTGGTGTGCTACCATTTGACAGTCCACTGCTTAAGCTATTGGTTGAATTTACAACTGCTATACCTTTCACAGTGGGGATATCCACTGGAGAGCAATTAGCATAAGAAGAGCAGAAACCTGTGTTGGGGTAAATTACTCTATTTCCAGCAGGATTATTTTTTTCAGAGGAAACTATGGTTTCATCGAAATTATTAAAATTGCTATTTTGACAAAGCAACTTGCTCACAAATTGCGAGTTAGAAGGCGCGGGTTCTTCAGTACAAACTCCACTGAAGTTATACATGTTGTCTGCAGTGCATGATGATGCTGAACCAGCAGCCGCTGTCGATGCAAATAAAATATCAAATAAGAAGGAAAATGAAAGAGTTTGTATAACCGACTCATTTATTTTATTATTACCAGCATCTGATACGGGACCGACTGGAGGTGTCATGGTGTACCCAACAGTAGAGGTACCCTTGACCAACTCATTGGCACCTTCAAAATTATATGTTGTTGAATTCTGATCTCTCTCGCCACCAACGCAACTGCAAGAGGTATAAAAAGGCAATTAGATACTTAGCATGACAGAATGCCTTTCAAGTAAAGCAATTCAGAAAAGTAACTCTCTACTTCAGTAATAGTCTTTCCATTTACATTTTTATTAATCGAACAAATTTACTAGAACTAAATGAAAATATAACATTAAAAAGGACGCAATGAAGAAAAAGGATTCATGTACTAGAACTAAATGAAAATATAACATTAAATAGGACGCAATGAAGAAAAATGATTCAATAGTGGGATTAAGGCGTTGTTGTTGTTGTTGTTGTTGAACAAATTTTACATAAACAATCCTACAGGATTAAGGCTTTGTTGTTGTTGTTGTTGTTGAACAAATTTTGCATAAACAATCCTACAAGACAAAGGCTCTATGGAGGTTTTATCAGTCGGTGCGCATATTTTTTAAAACTCTTCTCATTATATTTTTGGTTGAGTTGGACCCCGGCTGCAGATAACAATATTCCTTTTTTTTTTCAATGTTAATAGCCAAATTTTCTCTGCATCAATTTGAACCTTTGTGGTTCTATTTATTATGTTGTAAAATTCGGTTGGGATTATTTCTCTTTCGTGCTTGTGCATGATGTGATCTCTCCTTTGTTTGCTCCATATTGTCTTTAGACCCGATCAGGGGGGTAGAGAAGGTATCTTCTCAGAACACTTTCTCTTCCTGAGATGCTCTCAAAAGTCTTACATTTAAAGCTACGTGCTGTAATGTCCAGTAATATTAAACCGACTAGCCCTGGTTCGTCTTATTACACAGTGAGATGAAGTGAAAGAGTTGGATAGGAAGGCGAAGCGAACGGTGTTCACTGCTTATAAGACAGTTGAAGGAGGACAAAATCGAGCGGGAGAATTAGAGATGAGACAAATAGCATGCTTGAGAGAGTGATGAGGAGGGTTCCACAAGATTAAAATTGAGTAATAAAGGGAAAGTGATACCAGCAGTGAATAGCTTCGGTGAGCACGCTAGCAGAGGAGGTTCTCATGCCGATCAGGAGACGAAGCAAGCAGACCAGTGCGCTAAGAGGGAGTGACACAGACGAGCCAAGCAAGCGAGATTGTGAGCAGTGGTAAGTGAGCTTGAAGATTGCATCAAACACAATGAAGTCGAGCAGTGCAGGAGGGCTTTTTGTGCAATCTTGTGCAGAACAGAAGAGTCGAGTATGTCGAGGTCAAGTGGATCTCATTCAATTTTATATAATCAATTAAAATGAAATTAAGATTAATTTTTTTAATAAAATGTTAATAACATTTTAAATTTTAACTAAAATTACTATTTAAATGAAAGCAGACGAGGGAGAGCAAGAGTGTTATGTGACTCAAATGAGACGATAAAATTGAGTAGGTGTGTGAAGAACGGAAGATCAGTTTTATTGTGCTTACCGAGTCGGATAAATTTCTACTTAGATTTTCTTATGAATAAACTTCAAAACCTAAATCTAAATTGTGAGTTGGACTTAATTTGTGTTAACTAATACTTTATTTTAAGCGGTTAATCATATATATAAACTTAAATATAAATTGATTAGTGACATATGTTAATTTATAAATGGTACAAAAAACATTTTAAAGTTTGAGATATTAAGCAACTACAAATTTTCTAATGGTACTTAAAATCTTGTTAAAAAATATTATATAAAAAATAGGATAATTAATTATATCAATTCAGAATTTTTTAGAATATTAAAGAGTTGTCCAAAAAAGATTTTAAGTACTAATCATTGTGGAGAGTTGTCATTGTTGGTCCCAAGCCCAAATGTGAAAAGTGGAGGGTTGCGTTAAGTAGTCGACAACCAGAGTAAAACTTGTCAAAAAAATCATGACATGATTTTTTTTATCATTGTGTAAGTGCTAGAGCGTCCCCTGGAAGCGAAGCGTTGTATAATCTGAATACAGTGAAAGTGTGCAAAGGTCACTACACCGACGCTCAGGTGTAGTTTCAAATAAGCAAGAGTTCTCATATTACGGACGATTGCGGGTAAAGGAGTTAGCCTATGAAACTAATATTAGGATAGAATCTTGGAAATATAGGTAATCTTACTGGTAAATAATGAAATTAGTTGATATTATGATTCATATAACGCTTAATATCTTATGTGCTAAGGAGATTGATAGGTTTTAAACTTTGGTACTCTGGTAAGAGTCGCACTAGAAATGGTGTAGGTGCAATTATAGATAAGAGTTTGAAACATAATGTTGTAAAAATTAATAGATTTAGAGATGGAATTATAGTCTTTAAGATTATCATTGATACTAAGATTTTTAATATTATTAGTGCTTATGCTCCTCAAGTTGGTTTAGATATAGGGTCTAAAAAATAAATTCTGGATTGACTTAGAAGACTTAATACAAATAATACCTCTTGAAGAAATACAAATAAGCTGCCCTAAACAGACCCTAAATGGGTAGGAGAAAAGGCAAAGGAGACTGATAACTTGGGTTTTAAACTTTGGTATTTATGTAAGAGTCGCATTATAAATGTGATAAGTGTAATTATAGATAAGAGTTTGAAAGATAATGTTGTAAAAATTAATAGTTGGAGATGAAATTATAAGCATTATGATTATTGTTGATACTAAGATTTTTAATATTATAAGTGCTTATGCTCCTCAAATAGGTTTAGATATAGATTCTAAAGATAAATTCTGGAATGAGTTAAAAGACTTAATACAAATGATACTTCTTGAAAAAAAAAATTTATTGGAGGAGATTTAAATGAACATGTCGGTAGAGTGGTAGAAGATTTTAGAAATAGTCATGATGGCTATGATTTTGCAGTGATTAATGAAGAAGTTAGAGCTATATTAGATTTTGTTTTAGTGTATGATTTTGTTATTGCTAATATTTTATTCAAGAAAAGAGATGAACATATTATTACTTATAAGAAGGATCTAATAAAACACAAATTGATTATTTTTTTATGAGAAGAGATCGTCGAGAATGTAATGATTGTAAGATCATTCTAAGTGAAGATTTAAGTACTCAATAGTACTCAATTAAGTGAGGATTTAAGTACTCAACATCGATTATTAGTTCTATATTTTAAAATGAAGAGTTGTAAAATAAAGAATATTAGGAATCATTGTCGTAGAAGGGCACCTAAAGACACAAATAAAATTATTTTTATGAGTAAAATTCACGATTTCAAATTTTGGGACGTTCATGAAGAAGCAAATTCTGTGGGATAAAGTAACAAAAACTATTGAACAACAAAAAATATTGAACAAATGACAGAAGTTTACTTGAAAAATCAAAAGAAAAATTTTCTATAAATAAAAATAGATGGTGGTGGCATAATAACGTGCAATAAAAGATAAAATATAAGAAGGTATGTTATAAAAATTGGTTAAATATAAAAGCTTAGAGAATTGAGAAAAATATCAAACGTAGTAAAAGCTTAGAGAATTGAGAAAAATATCAAACGACACGTAGAGAGTCTAAGAGAACAATCTATGACGCTAAAAATTATGCTTTAAGTGATTTTTATAATAGATTAGATACTAAAGAGAGAAAAATATCTGCACAAACTAGCCAAATAAAGGAAATAGAAAAATAGAAATTTAGCTCAAGTGTATTAAAGATAAAAATCAAAAAGTATTATTCTTAAAAAAAAATATTCAAAATAGGAGGATGAGTTATTTTGATAAACTATTTAATAAAGTTTTGGAAAATGTGATTGACCTTAGTGATTTTAGTATCGTTAATAATAATAAAAATGTTTCATTTTTATTATCTAATTAGTAAAGTAAAATTGGAAAAACTTTAAAGAAAACCAATGGTGGAAGATCTGTAGGGCCTGATGATATCTCAATTGAAGTATGAAAATAGAAGATTTGAGTTTCTTGGCTTACTAAATTCTTTAATATTATTATAAAAACTAAAAAGATGCCCGGGGAGTGGAGGAAGAGTATTTCCGTCCCCATGTATAAGAATAAAGAGGATGCACATTTATGTTTTAGACTACAGTAACATAACAGAAAAGAAAATAACATGGGAAATAAAATACTCTCCTCCACTCCTCAGGCATCTTTTCTTTTCACATTTATGTTTTAATATCCAACAAAGTTAATGTGCAAAAAAATTTGATGCCTGATCATATCAATGGGTTACAATAGCTTGGTGATTTGTGCCATATGGTTTGATATGGATGTATCAGCCATCACTCACCACTTTTCATGTATAGTTAACTATTTTTTTTGTCCAAGAATTTCGTGATCATTGTTAAATCATGTGTTCATAATTTCTTACCATTCGAAGTTTTGTTGACTCATGATTCTTGTTGGATTGTCTATTCCATTGTTTTAGGACTATAAATAACACAAAGCCAAGTACGATCTTGTTCAAGTTTATTCATTCGTTTTCATATCAAGTTCAAACTAAAGCTTAAACATGTCCCAAAGTTCTAAAATCTCAAACAAGCTTATTTGTTAGTTTTCTTATCAAGTCAAGCCATAATCAAGCATAATTATATGTTTGATATTATAGATTTAAATATATAATCAATATACTAAACTTAATTAAATATATATAATTTAATCAAAATTGACATAATTTATTAGGTTTATTTAATTGTTTAGTAAAGTTTAAATATCTTGCCAAATAGGAGGCTTACAATCTCAACTTATAGAAAAGGTAGCCCATATAATGGAATTTGATTTGTAATGAAGTACATTTTTTTAGCACATATATATAGAGAGAAACACTAAGGCCCTGAGATCAAATAAAAATCAATTAGATCAAAGTTGGGTCCTTAACTTATTTGATTAATCAACTAGATTAGCATTATATGCATTTGAATTGATGCCTAAGTGGTATTATCGTGCTTTAGATATATTAGTGCATTTAGAATGGGCAGTGACTGCATTAATAGGAATGTGGGGGTCATTATATGATATTGGCAAATGTATGGGATGTTTGTATATATGCCAAGATATATTGGCACAATTTCCTTGAGCAACTTAAATTTATTAGTCATTTCATGTCTTATATAACAATTCAATATACTCAATTTAGAGTTGCCTTAGCACCTCTTTTAATGCACCAACTCACATTTTGTTGTACTGGAATTATTTCATTTTTTAAGGCAATGTTCAAATGCTAATTCCTTGTACGTCATCTAACAATGTGCAGGCTACCTTATAGAACTCTTTGCTTCATAAATGTATTATGTAATATGCCTTTAAATTGTTAGCATGGTCTTTCATGTGCTAGCATATATTTGGCATTTGTGTTTTGTTCCTATATATTTTTCCATGTTAGCATGTTTTTTGAAACAATATAGTTGATTTAAAATTAAGCATGAGTCCATACTAGAATATGCCAAAATTTTTACTAGGATGGTAATTGATAATTAAAAAAAATAATGGTTTATATAAATATTTTATTTTTAAGATCCGCAATGTATGGCCTACGCATAACAATTTCAACAAAAAAAATTCCCTTCTCATTAGTGGTTTCAAAACTAATGATAGCATTCCATGATCCATCTACTTCCAAATAGAGGTTGCACGTATGTTAGTAATATTGAAGTTGCACGATGACCATACAGCTACATAATGACAATACGGTTATCACAAGGTTTTGGTCAATTGTAGTACTTGGAGGCAAGCATTCATTTCCTTGAATCATAATCAATGATCAATGAAAGTAAGAAAAACTATAAGCAAATCAAAGACCAGTGACATGAAGTGGTCTCCAAGCTCAGATTGAATTGAAGATCAATGACACCAAGTAGGAGTATGCAGTCAATTTGGTTAGATTGGCTAGCAAATTTGTCAAACATATTGAACTGAAACAAATCTCAAGTAAAATCAAACCAAACAAATCATATAGATAGTTACAAACCAAACTGCAAGGTAGTTTTAATTATTCGGTATAATTTTGATCAAATTGAATTTTGAAATCATAATAAAGAAAGCATCTAAAATAATATCCAAACAAAATATGAATAGATAAAATTATCTAAAGATGAATTTCAATACTAGTTAAAATCAATTATTTCTACTGTAATGTTACCTTATTTATTACCCGGGGGAGAGGAAATAAGGAATTGGGGAAGAGGAAATAAAGGATCGGGCAGCCAAACAAAGGGAGAAAAAGCAAGGAGTCGGAATTCTAGGAGACGAGTGTACATTATAAATAGACACGAGAGGTAAGAACTTACCAGGAGAGTCGAATCCCCGTGCAAGTTCAATTGAAGAAGGAGCCTCACGTGCGACGTCTTTGTCATGTCGAACTCTTGCGAAGAAAGGTGGAGGGAGGAGATTTGCTTCTTGTACCGCTATGGGTTGAGCCGCGACTAAAGTGAAGGCATAGTCGATCACTTGTGATGTCATGTTGAATTGCGCTTAAAGAAGAGATCTCTGTGTGCGATCAACGAAGGTGAGGAAGTGTGTGTGCTTGGAGTTCGATTGAAGGAGGGGTTCATCAAGCTCCATGGTGCGAAAAATAAGCGAGGAAGAAGGGAGCTGAAGCCGAAGGAGGAAGTGTCAAACAGGTCTCTTGCGTGCGGGTAAGAAGAGTCTTGCGGTTTTCTTCTGCCATAGAGAGGTTGCCAAGCCCTGGCTTGGTGTCGAGGAAGAGATGAAGGAAATCGACATAAGTGGTAAGTGTAGTTTTTTATTTGTGATAATAATAATAATAATAATAATATTATTATTATTATTATTATTATTATGAAATATTTATTTGAAATAAAAAAATGAAGTTTACAATTACGTATTTGAGTGGAAATTTATTGGATACATACTATTTTTCTTTTCTCTTACATTGTTGTAGTTTAAGACTATGAATAATCACTGGCTTGTTTTGCTCACCTTTTTTTTTCAATAAATTTTTCTGGTTAGTAGACAATAAAAAATTTATTTCTCACCATCTGATCGCCCATTTCCGCTTTGGTTTATATTTTGATGTGCAATGTAAATTTTGAAGTGCCCATTTCCGCTTTGGTTTATAATTAAATTAAAATTTAAAGAATTATTCAAAATTTTGATTTATATTTTTATGTGCAACGTAATTATTATGAGATGGTATCGAAAATTATGCATGTATTAGTGCACAAAAAATCACAAATCTTAAAATCATATAATGTTGGGTCATTACACTCGCAAAAATCCTGCTCATAAAAGGGTAAGATAATTGTTGTTGAAGCAAGGCTATGTGGTGTTAATAAGAGCAATGTTAGATGCTTTGGCATGAAGAGAGCAGACATATGGAGCAGGCTTAGAGTGATTAAGGAATTCGGAAGAGATAGAGAGAGAGCAAAGAGCGAGAGAGTCTTAGGGTGACAATAGAGTCAAACACAAACACTGAAAAAACAAGCAACTTCGAGTAGACAAAGAGCAGAAGAAAGAAATCAGCACAAGGATGGTAGGAGATAATGGGGAGTAAATGAAAGAGTATTCCGTGTTTTCATTTTCTCAGAAAGAACAATTAGTTGGCTTTAGCGACAAGACATGCATGATCATCACTTATTATTGTTATTGTTCTTGTTCTTGTTATTATTATTATTATTATTAAGGTAAACAAACACAAGAAAAAAAATAAAACAATAATAAAATGATTTCTTCAATGAAGCCCGCATTAATTGGAAGAGAGAGAAATTGATCTAACATCTGAAAAGCCATAATTAGTGTGCATAAAGAAAGGACACTCAGTATCCTTCGCAAATCCCCAAGAACAATCTCTCATAAACAAAACATAAACACAAAAAAAAAATCTCAAATGTAAGATGATCACCCAAAAAAAATAAATCAACCATTAAGATGAAATTTCAAAACCCCAATTGATGTTGCCAATCCAAATTGAAGAAATCCTACGTCATCTTCAAATTATTGAAGAGAAAATTGAAAAAAAAGAGCACTCCAAGTAATCCTAGTTGAGAAGGTATGCCTTGCTTCTTGAAACGCACACAAAAAACAATCCAAGAGGGTGTGTTGTAAAAAATTTAAACCTACAAACCTAAGCCAAGAGAGCTCTCATAGTCACAAGTAACAATTGCATCTATACAATCTACATCAAAGTATAATGACAATCACTCCTTACTTGTTCCTCCAAAACTTAACTTGTTATAAGAATCTTGATCGTCCGAAATCAGAAGCCATCAAACTTCTTGGTTTCAAACTTCATGGTCATCATACTCTATAACAAGTATAACAAGTATTGTATAAGTTGCTAGAGATTAAACTATAGAAGGATAGAATTGGGCCTAATACAAAAATGATCATATCATTTTAAACCCAAAAGCTTGCTACTATGGCTGCAAGTCAAGCACTTGGTATTTCAACCCCAATATATTTTTCACTTAAATGATTTGGTAAACTAAACTCAATAATCTCATGCGCCTTAATCAATTTATTGTAACGAGAGCACCGAAGGACTAAAGATGAAAATATCATCATAATTACGTACAATGTGACAAAAAAATCACAAAGAAAAAAACAAACAATGCAAAAGAAATAAAGTATAATATGGTTTGACTTTAATCAGACCTATATCCATAAGAGGGGAGAGAGGATACAATTAAATATCAAAGAAGCTGCAATAGGAATACACAAAAAGGAACATTTGTCATCCTTCTGATGTTCTAACACACCTTCACAAACAATGAAGAAACCTAAAAGAAACTCTCAAATACAAAATGAGTTCCTTTCAACAAAATATCAACCACCAACACGAAACATACTAGAATCCTAACCATTGTCACTCGTAAATGTTGAAAACCTAAGATAGTCTTCAAATAGAATTTAAAACCAAGAGATTTGCACTCCAAAAAATCCTAACCCAAGTGGGTATGCCTTGATTTTTCAGATTCATATGAAACCCTAAACTGAGAGAGTTTACTTTGGAAAGCCATCAAGTTTTCAAATCATGGTTGACGGATCTCTTAAAACTACAAGAAACGATCACAGTCGTCTGGTCTCTACAAGAATATTCCAAGATTTAACTTTTTCCAAGAATATTGAGTCACAATTAGTATAGAGCAACTATAATATCGATTGATCATTATGAAAAAATCAAGTTAAATACCTATACCATAGGTAACCTAACATGAAACTGTACCTGCTTATACCCACACAAGGTATCGATAATAAAGTCAGCTTTTTATCAAAGATTACGAAATTTTCTATAAGAAGCAAACGTTATAATCAAGCAATAAACAAGATATATGTTTATCAACATGAAAACATACAAATACAAAAATAAAAAAATAAAAAATAAAAAAAACTAAGAGAGGTTGTTAGACATTACCCATCCTCGCAAACAAGATGGGAGCGCTTGAAAACAGGCAGCAAGTCTTTTCGCTTTATTTCAACTTCATGGAATGCCAGTTTTTCAATTTCAATCTCTCCACCATCACAACCACAAGCAGTGTTCTCGTTAGCTTTTGATAGCATCATCACATAAAAGCATATCTAGAACAAATTAAAAAACATTGAATTTCATTTAGGCTTATTGATATTTAAAAAGAAAAAGAATTACAAACATAAAACAAGGATTAAAATTATTACTTTCTTCTTCTGCCAGATTGGCATCCTTCCGGAGCAAACCTGCACTTCTGCATTCGAAAGGTACCAATGGGGCCGTTCATGAGTCTTTAAAGACTTTTTTCCAGTCAAAAAATCGGTAGATGGCGCAGAACATGAATTATTGCCAATAGTGCTGTCAGACGTATTCTCAACTGTCTCTACATTATTCTGACCATAAAAGATAACTTGAGGAATATTTTGTTCCCTTTCAGGCCAATTAGACCTCCTACATACATCCCACCATTGAACTGATTCAATATTTACATGTAACTCCTCATCTTGAAACTGCAATAGAGGACCAGATTCGCTTCTTGAGCTGCTATCACTAGACTCTTCCCCTAATGATGGTAGCAGTTCATGTTGAATCAAATGACCAGATGGAGAGTAGACCAAAAGATGTTCCAATGAACAATTGTTTGCATTAACTGGTGGGATGGGGTGGCTTATAGAATTGTGGAAAACAGCAGCTATTGCACCCGAGGGTATGGGCATCTTCCCAGCTGCAGATGCAGTGACACTACTGACGGTATTAAGCCATCCAGAGCTAAAATTTTTAATTCTACTAACTACAGAAACCGTCAAAGGTGGTGGAGGTTGAAGAAAATGCTGCTCTATCATGCAAGATAAACTTGACCACCATGGCATTGTAAGATTAGGAATAGGATTTGGCCCATCAAAGTAAGGACTCTGTAGTTGAAGACTAGCATCACCACCAAATGGGGACATTAAGAAAATATGACATGTACCCCTAGATGAAACTATTGCAATCCACTGACTATAATGACTAAAACAGATGTCCTGTATGACCTGAAATAAAAACAGAGAAAAAGGAAACCATTAACTATCTATAGGTTTCAAAGCTCCAATATTAAGAGCAAGATTCATGGGTACTTACAGCTGGCGTTAATCCACGATAAAGTTTGTAAAGATGTACATGTGAGGAAGACCAATCATAACATGTGGAGTTTGAAGCATTTTTCATGCAGGTGGGCATTATTCTGAACACATTCAGGTTGTGCCCATTTACAGAAGCTGTGACTAGAAGGGTTCCGCTAGGATCAAAACAAAGAGCAGATATTGGGCTCGTATGAGCTCTAAATTGAGAAATAACCTCTTTAGAAATAAAATCCTTGATCATTACCTGCATTGAAGATTGTTAGTAAAGGTGATAGATGGTTAAACCAAAAAGCAAATTCAGAAGTATAATAAGGAGCTAATTCATAAGGTGAAGTATGTGAAAACAATTCGCAATATGATGTACATTAAATGATGAACTTGAAACTAACCATTCCAGCATTATCAGCCTCACAAGAATGTGTTGCCGGTGGAAGCCTTCCAGTTCTCCTATTAGAATTTGGTGCCAAGGGGGAGCAAGAACCATCAGGAACAAGCTCTTGGTAGTATTTTGACAAAGTTTTATAACCCATGTCTCCAATGCTAAGTATTCCAGAAGCCAACTGCTTGCTAGACTCCATTGCATAACGAGCAACTAAGCTACCACTACCTGGTGAAGTTGATGGGCTAACACCAGGAGAGGGAGTGAGGTTCTGTGGACTGAGGCGCCCCACATTTGACAAAAGTGGGTTATTAGATGCATATGCTAACCACCTCGGACCAACAGCCATGGGACCATAGCCAATGTTAACTCCAGCTGCTCCTTGCAATGGGTAAGTTAATACGCTGAATTTGTTCTCAAGAGTAACTGCATCAAAGCAATATATCTGCAGGAATATGAGGAATAATTATATGTTTAAACAAAAAGTTTATTAACTATTTTTGAGACCAATAAACGTGTTTAAACAAATAAATATAAGACCAGATTTTCTGTTTTTAGTGATCATACTTTCAACTTTTTTTAAGAAAAAGAATTTTACTTGTGCTGCAAGAGCCACAGCCACAATGCGGGGACTGCATCGAACTAAGTACACGGCAGACCGAAATCTGAGGAAGTGCACATAAGTGTGTGATTTTAGCGAATAAAAGCGAACAACAGTAGGAGCGCTTAAGCAGTTTCCTTGCTGAGGCTCACTCAAACCATCTCGAATCAATGCACTTAAGCGGCCACCTTGAACCATGCCTGAGCCCTTGGTTTCATCACCAGCAACAGTCAACAGCATTGGATGTGATGTTCTAAAGCCGTCCCATTCTGACTTGGCTGGCATGGGCTGAATCTGTAAGAATGTAACTGGGCCATCACGCCTTGATACCAGCTCACAGACATTTGAGGCATCTTCAACATCAAGCACTTGGAAGCCATTGGTATAACCAAGTAGAAGAACATGTTTGAAAGAAGCTGGACCAAGCTCTAGCTTGTCAAAGCCAACCCATAATACCTGCTCAAGTATAAAGACTTAAACAGGGCATGTTCTGAGAATAAATTTAAATGCTTAATGGACAAATTGTACAGAAATAACATGTTTGAAGGAAGATAAGCTGAAATCTAGTCTGTCAAAGCCAAGCGGTAAAACTCAAAGCATGTTCCTAGACAAATTAAAATGCTTAATAGACAATTTGTACAAAAATTGATGTAATAAACTAGAAAAATTGTGTGATAGATATCATAACATTGAAAATATGTAAGTGAGCCAAAAGGTAACCCAATCAAACTTTAGTTATAAAGCAAGAAAAACCAATCCACTAACATGTAATACCACCAAATTTAACAAAAGTATATCAAGAAAATTAATTAAGAGAAAATAAAAAAATGGTCTTTTAACCAAATACATTCTCCTGGAAGTTTGAACTAAACAAAGACTCATTACCAAATCAGAATACTATAGACGACAATCTACAAAGGTTGCACATTTTTTTGCACATAAGTATCTTAATTATCTAGCCTTTTAAATCAACTGATTCTAGATATTTGGATGTACAGCTTAATTTAAAAAGGTAAATGCCCACAAAATCTCATATTTGCTAATAAAATGCTTGGGAAATTATAAAGGGATTAATCATAAAGCAATCCCTGTAAGCAGTAATATCAACTTTTAATCAATTAAATCATTTGCAAAGGCTCAAAGGTCATGAATTCAGTAAAGCACATCAAGGAATCATGTAGTGATACTTCTCATTTGAAGGGAACCTCAACAGAGTAAAACCCATGAAACTGCACCAGCATCACAGGATACATAGTTAAACTTTCCACTGCCATTTTTGTAAGGATGTTATAATAGTCAATCTGTCATTTTTATAATTGATATCCTCCAGCCACTGGTTACTTATCCTTAATCAATTTTACTTTTATTTTTCAATGTAAATCAATCCATCCATTTTCCACTTCTACCCTTGATAAAATTGTGTTGCAGTCTTTCAGATATTTTACATAGCTTTTACTGCCTTTTTTTTTAATTAAGAATAGTTTGGCAAATAAGAATCCTAGGCGTTTTAGTGGTTTCCTAGGCGTTTTAGTACCTGCATGATGTTAAATGAAGAAAGATTGCGCCATTCTATATACCTACCATCTGGTGAAAATTAGGTGTTCACCAGCCAGTTAGAAAAAATTGGATGGTTCTGATAGACATAATGTTATTATAACTTTCATGCTAAAAACAAGTACAAAACCCAAGTAGCTAATACAAAAAGTGGCAGAAGTAAAGACATAAAAAATGTAAACCTCTATGTTCAAGACCATGGAATCAAATGTTATATGAACCAGTTTAACAATGTAAAGCAAATGGTTTCACTCAACTCTATCGTTACGACTTGCCTTTCATTTTTGAACCACAAACAAAGCAGCGTCAACTAACTTTACACAAAGTACATCAAAACCACCAAAATTGCAGAATCCCAAAGGCAATCATTCCTAGCAAGCAACCAACCTATTGAAATGAGCCAAAATTTTATTCAAGTTGTGAAAAATTCTCGATCGAGAGAGAACCTGGTCTTTCTCATCCTCCGGGGGCACTGAGATCGAGGAAGCCACAGAGGCCCCGGCCGATCGAACGCTATTAGCAACGTTGCCGGCGTTTGCGGACACCGTCTTCAGGCAAGAAGAGATGATACGAAGTGAACTAGGAAGCAGCCCGTTCCGGCCCTTGCCTCGCCTCATGCTCTCCAAAACAAACACAGCAGTCGTCCCTGACGACTCCCCGTCTCCTCCGGCGAACCTTCCCGCCTCCCTCGCCACCAACCCTTACCGACCGCCTTCCATCCGCGATGAACGCCGCCGATGGAGATCCTAAATACCATCCGAGTTCCGATCTCGATCGTCGACAAAGATTTCCCCGTTACCCAACCTCTTCGTCTACTCCCTCCAGCTCCGAGAGTTTGACTCAGCGGCCATATCTCAGTACGCTTCCTCCCTAACACGAAAGACAAAACCGAACCAACCCAATCGGTCTCCCAATCCCATTCCTCTCATCTACTCTTCGTGTTGCGTTGCTTCCCGTCAAAACCTGCAATTACAATTTTAGAAAAAGAAAAAAATTATTCTGCTGCTCCGCCGGATCTCCGGCGCACGAAGAATCCATTATCCGTTATCCGCCGTAAATTGCGGGTCAAACAGCTTTGAGAAAAAACGATATTTTGATATTTTTTTTATTTGAATTGAGCAAGAATTCGTGTCAACGAGTTGGATAATGAGTTATATTTATTTCAGTTCAATTTTTATTTGAGACGATTTAAAATATTTATTCTAATATTAATTAAAATTTATATTATATATTTATATATATTATAAAATTCAGTTTAATTTTTATATATTATATATTTATTTAAGCCCGTCTTATTTTAATAGTATAAGAATGTTTTTCCCTCTTAATTGTAAAAAATATGAGATTTCAAAATAATACAATTCACAGTAGTTTATTCTCTTGTCACTATGATAACAGGAATGTAGAGTACAAATGACTCGTCCCAATTGATTTGAATAGACTGATAGGATGATAACAGTTGAGAGATGAAAATCTACCAATAACAGTTAGGTGATTGTGGTTAGATGGTATGACAATGGCTGAGTAATGATAGTCCTGCTTACTAGTTGGGTGATGACAACGAAATGATGGTGATTGGACAACAGTAGTTGGGCGATAGTGATCGGATGATAGTGATTGTGTTCAAACATAAAATTCCTTCAATCTTCAAGTTCACTCCAAAGTCAAGTCCAAGTCCCACTCATATGGAGAACATGAGTCTATTTATAATTTTTTAGAGTAGAATTTTGACGAATTTAATTAAAATTTTAAAAAGCTTCAACATATGACTCATCTCAAATTTTTTGGATATAGATTGATTTTCAAGCATTCAAGTGTCTTAATAAATCCAAATTATGTGATTTTAGCCTCATTGAATTCGGTTCATTGAGATACTCAACAAATCATAAACATGTAGGGTTTAGAGATGATCCTTGTTTTAACATCATAAAACATTCAATTATGTTTTAAGTGTTTGATCAACTCTCATTTCAACTCAAATTAGATAATATTGTTGGGTTTATCTTATCGAGAAGTTTAATTTAATTATAAATTTACTAAATTCAACGATTGTGTTATTTTGAATTTGATTTTAAAAGTTTTTAATTCTAAAATACAAGAAGATATGTACTTGATCAAGTTAATTCTTCAATGAAATGTTAATTGTCCCATACTTTTGGTTGTTAAAGCATTTGTCACTTTAACAATATATTTAGTTCTAAGAGGATTTGAGACATAAAATTATTAATTATAAAGCATAGTCACATCTTTAACATCAATACAGACCCCCAACAGGGTCGTAAAGTAAAATCTTATCAATCATAATTTCAATTATTTTTAAATTTGAAACTTTAATTAAAGCAAAAAATATTGAAATATTAAACTGTAAACTTACATAAAATTAATTTTAGATGCTCCATTGTGCTCCAAAAATTGAGTCAAAATCATCAAAATAAAGAGAAATAAGCATGCTTGGGTTTAGAGAAAGTGGGTTACTACCATCGATGCCAACGATAAGTGCGTGTATATAAGCACTCAAAGGTACACACGCACAAGAGGCACATTTTAAATTATCATATAATGATTTTAAATAACTAAACAAATACTTGAAATTTTAATATTAAGGCTCAAATTTTACTAAATTTGCATAAGTTTTCGTAACTCATAATCCTTTTCTTTTAAAAATAACCCATAAATCAGAAGAAATTTCACATATCTTAAGTCTGATTTTGTAGGCTTTAGTTTTTTTTAACTTAAAAAAAAATTAAATATGGCCTAATATAGGCTTAATATAAGTGCCACTTTTGGGCTCAGTGTGTTTGTACCAAGAGCATGGGGTTGTCAATCATACATGAAGTTAGATGATCTTTTACTTCCTAATTTTTCATTCATGTTTTTTTTTTCTTAAGAGAGGTTAAATAGTATCGTGCATTGGCCTTTTATAGGCTCCAAAGTATCTTTGCTAAAAGCATGGGATTATCATTCATGGAAGGAATCAAAATAAAATCTTTCACATTTAGTTCCTCCTTCATATAGTCAATTATCAACCATTTGCCTTTAGTTATCTTGGGTCTCAATATCCTTGGGTTATTCCCACCATCAAAGGACCAATACAAGTTCCTCATGATCACTATGAACTACTTTTCAAAGTGGATAGAAACAAAGGTGTTCTATCGTATTACAATAGAATGTGTTTGTAACTTCATATAAATAAACCTCATTTGTCAGTATGGGTTGCTACTGGTCATCATATCGATAAAGGGACATAATTTGTCGATCATGGACTGAAAATTTTTTGTTAAAGTTAGGGGATTAGCCTTAAGTTTGCATCAGTTCATCATCCTTAGACTAAAGAATAAGCAGAAGTTGGCATCATTTTTTTGATATCACATATGTGGGATGTCCACTTAAGCGTATCAGGGTAACATTTCGTGCAAATAAGTCACCCGCAGCTTGAGACATTCGTTCGAGACCCATCGGTGCGTGTTGAGGGGCACACAGCTGGGGTTGTTTGACTAGACTTTGGCTTTCTCTTAGGCGAAGGCCGATCGACATTCAATTCATTGGACGACTTTGATCGGGTCAACGAATATTATTTGTAGTGTCACGCGTGAAATTGGCTCAAATTGGCTCGATCATCAGCGAAGTTGTCTAGATGACCCTGGATGATGAAACAGACCATGTGAGTGAGTCAAGAACTTCGATTTCACTTAGAGAGAACGTCATTTTTGCCACGGCTTCACGGGTGCGCTAAGAATGCGCAAATTATCATTTTTGGCCCAATTGCTGGAAAAGTGATCTAAAAAGACTCCGGATGACAAAACGGACTGTGTGATCGCGTCTGGAACGTCGATTTTACTGAATGAGACCCTCATTTTGCTGCGAAGAGGTGTTCAGCAAAAATGAAGTGAGAGCTTTCAATAATAATAATAATAATAATAATATTATTAATATAATAATATAT